TAAAATATGTAGAGCAGACAACAAAACAGCCAGAAACAGCAAAAGTCAAGTTTATGGTGGATAAAAGATAAATAAGTATGAATCTGAATGAAACCCAAGACTTCTGAAGCAATGTTTGTTAGACTTTTGAGACTAAAGCTTTGCACACTTCAAAAACAGAAAATCTTACAAAGTATTTTTGGTTTAGTTTCTGATGTGAATTTCATTCAAGGTTTCCCCCAGAAAACTTGTTAATCCCAGAGATAAGGTGCTACGGCGGTCATTCATCCAGCGGCCCGCCGTGCTTTTGAGTTAAAAAATGTTTAAAATTGACAGTAAATTTGACAATATCACTTGATAATTATGTATTATTGAAAGATTAATACCTGAACACCAAATTAAACACCTTGAAACTGCAAACATTTTTAAAAAACTTTAAAAAATAGGCAATGCTTAGCCTGGTGGGGGCACAAGTAAAGCCTGGTGGCCCACCAGGCTTATAATACACTTAAAATAAGACAAAATTAACTTTTCAACAATATATAGGAGTTTATAATTCCTTAATATTTGCACTAGTTCCACTGGAAGATTTTTTTTTCAATATTAAGGAATCATTGACTTAAAACAAGCTTCTGAAAACTTTAGTTTTGCCTCATCTAGAGATTTGCACGAGAAATACTCGGTAAGATTTTGTGTTTTTGCAGTGTGGAGTTGCTGAAGGGTTTATGGGAGTGTTGATGTCCAGTCTACATGCAAAAGCTGTGAGCAGAGGATCAAACTAGGTTGGAGTTTTGTCCACAAGTGACGGACAGATGAAGTGACCCCCGTCTGGAGGTTGACGTTTATCATTGCTGTTAAAGTACAGTCGTGTTGAGTTCAGCTACTCAGAGAGACCTGCAGTTTCATTAAATCCAGTCCGTGCTGCTTTTGTTTTCATCACCAGTAAAACAGGGTGGTGCAGCCTTAAAGTTTAGCTCGTTGAAAGCCTCGCCACAAACAGTTAACAGTTTCTGAAAATGTGGGTTTTGATCATCAGCAGGCACCACAGATTTTCCTGTCCGTTTTGCCAAAATCCTGTGACCCCTAAATGTTACTGTGGAAAGACAGCGTATCAAAACAAGCACCCCATTTTCTGCATTTGCTCCATGACGCATCTTTATTCCTTCCATATGAAACATGTACAGGACACAAGGGGGCTTTGATAACAATGTGAGCTAGCGTTGCCACACACAGACTGTTTGGGAAGGTAGAACACCAGAAAGTTCCCGTCCTGTCCCCCTCATTCATTGTTTTTACAGCGCTTTTCTTCTTTTGTTTTAGTCAATGGGTAAAGGAGGAAAAACCCTTCAAATTATCAACAGAAACAGAAGTATTCCTCTCCTAATCAAGTGCGTGTCCTTAAGTGAACCTGCTAGCTTGCGCCAGCCCCTCCCCATCTTGGGTCCGGGCCCCCGTTTTTGGTTCATACAAATTTTGCAAAAGCTTTATCTCAGTTTTCAACCTTTTTTTCATCCTTTCATTTGCATTCGGCCCTGCTCTCGGTCTCGTGTGTGTGTGTGTGTGTGTGTGTGTGTGTGTGTGTGTGTGTGTGTGTGTGTGTGTGTGTGTGTGTGTGTGTGTGTGTGCATCGCTGACTTGGACATTTGTTTGGCAGCAGAGACGCAAAGGGATGCTGTTAACGCTGCAGGAAAAACAAAATCACAAGTCCTTTTGGATCGCCGTGTGTTAACATGTAAACACTGTTCCAAATGAGGTGATACAACTCAGTTTGAAACCAAGAATTTTACTCTGTGTAAGTTAACTCTTTAAACATAAGACAGCTTCCCCATTTGTTGGCCCTGAATCTGTTTCAGAGTGGGAATGTTTCTCGTTTCAAATCCAGTACCGGGTCATTTCCAGAGGAATCGCCGGTGAGCCGAATCTGATCTCCAAATTAATTAGGAGTGAAAAGTTTCACAAACTCAAAGCGTGAACCCGAAAGCGATCCACAGTAGATCCAAATCTCAGTCTTTTCTGTCTGGAGTTTCGGTTTCTCGACCGAAACAAGATGAACTGTTTCCTCAAGTTTATTTGTAAAACACATTTCAGTAACCAGAATTCAGTAACCAATTATTCAACAGTAGTAAAAATTACATTTAGTTAGCCTTGATTTAAAGGAACTCTGTGATTTGTGGTGCATAGAAGCTGAATGCTGATCCTCCATGTTTGGTTCAGGAGACCTGAGTGACCTGGAAGGTTGATACAAGCTGTTGAGTGATTTATAAACTAACAAACACATTTTAACGTCTATTCTCTGAGCTCCAGGGAGCCAGAGGAAGGACTGGTTTTAGTCAGAACGCCAGCAGCAGCATTCTGGCAGACGCTGTTGCAGTAATCAGTGCGATTAGAGATAAAAACATGAATGAGTTTCTCTAGATCTTCCTTTAATCCTGGAAATGATCTTCCAGTGATAAAAGGCCGACTTTGTAACCGTCTTTATGTGTCTCCGAAGGTTCAGACTCAGATTTCAGGCCAGATCACTCGTTTAGAGTCGTAAAAACCAACTCTATATTGTTCCACTTTGTTAATAAGTTCAGTTTTGTTCAGCTGCAGAACGACTTCCACACCTTTATTTGTTCAGTGATTGGTTGGTTCAGAGCCACCTGGTGACATCGTAACGTAGAGCTGTGTATCATCTGCACAGTTATGACGGCTAATCTCATTATTTGTTATAAGCTGAGCTAGCAGAAGGCATTGACACTTGTTTATCACTTTATTAGGATTGATACCTTTTATTTTGCCCTGCAATTGTTTTCAGTGTTGGCAAGACAATTGAAGCAAGAAAATACCTTCTAAAACATATTGTTTAGAAGGCAGAGCAGGAGTTTTGTTCATTACAATCAAATTAGAGGCGGTGTGAAACATCTTTTGTTTGTCTAAAATGATTCAGCTGTGTTATCTAAGAGGCTGAATGAAGCCTTTCCTCGGCCGCTGAGTTCACTGAGGCGGATGTCTCCAAGGACGAAGCTGTGGGGCGGCTGGAGGTGGCGCTGAGCGGGTCCAAAAGTCTCACAACCAAAGAAAGAAGAGCGGGAGTGAGAGAGAAACTTTTCACAGAGCCGCTTCAGATAACCAGACGCAGGCAGGGGAAGGTAAGGTCAGCTCCCTCCGCCCATCCCACCTCGCTCCTCTTCATCAGCAAATATCTATAGACTGGGCAAGCTCATCATTTCCAGTCCGCTGTGGGCAGAGGAATCCAGATCAGGTTTCAGAACAGAGATGGGGCGTTTTAAGCTAACTGGACGGTAGCGGTGTCATCGGGAAAATAGCTTTGTCCTTCAGAGGAGCATCCTTATTGTATTCCACCAAGCAGTTCCTGTTAATGACGCAGTCCGCCAGGGGAGGCAAATATAGACGCCGCATCGTGGTTCTTCTGAGCTTCAGCTCGTTGGGAAAGGAGCCAGACGTTCAAAAATCTGAGTCAATTCAGAAATACTTCATTTATCCCAAAGTGGGATTAAATTAAATGTTGTATCTTCAATGAATCGTCGTGGACTAGAGACTAAAGACCTCATGACATGCTAACAGCTCGATTTCAACCCACAATCACATTTTGTACACTTCATCAGCTGTTAGCGAGCACTGCTAATCCACCTCATTTGCTTTTGCTACTCATCTTTAAATCTCTGATTGGCCGTATGGTGGGAAAGCCGGTCAGAGGGACGTTGGAGTCCCTGCTTTCTGGTCCAGAAGCCTCCTTTGTTTTGGTTCTTCTGGGATTTGGGGTCATAGTTCAGGAATTGTTTGAGCTTTTCAGATGCTAATCAGCAGCTAGCACCAGTTTTACGCACCATAACAAAAGTAAAAGATCAGCGGGAACATGGAATGCCTCAACCAAAAACACTCCAAGCAAAGTCTAGAAAAAGAACAGATGCATAAATGTTTTATTTTCCTTCGTGGTAGCAGCATCATGCTAGTCTTTAGCATAAACATGGAAGCTAATCTAAAATATCGATAAGATCAATATTTTAATTTATTTTAGTTCTGCAATCTAATTTCTCAACTTTACCGTAAAGCTTTTGATTTGATTTTTTTCCTCAAATGTCATTTTTGCACTTTGCTTAGAAAACAATGCACGCAAATGTGATTTGTTTTCCTACTGTTAACATTTATCGTGTAAATATGTTTTTAAAGTATTTTGTAGACACATATTAACTTTATCTAAATTCTGTCCGAGGTTCGAACAAAGTAATCCAAAATAATAAAAAAAAAACACCAAAACCTTATTTAGTTGGTATTTGATCGACACCAAAACAGGCATTATTGCACATCTTTCAGCCATCAAATATAAGCAATTCAGTCACATTTGTAAGTCAGAACGTTCCAGTCAAAGTCCAGACCTAAATCTTTAAAATCAATGTTTGCAGACGCTCTCTATCTAATCTGACTGAGCTTCACATCCGGTGCAGAAAGAGCAGGAAACATTTCGAGTCTCTATCTGGGAGAGACTTTACATAAATCTCGTCATAAGCGTCAGAATTTCTTTGAAAGCCTGTGATTTTATATTTCATTTTCCTGCCAAGTAAACGGACTGATTGAAAATCAGGGAGAAGAGAAGGAAACCCAGGGGTATAAATCACTGTGACAGAGCGCAGGGAAGCTGGAAATCCTCCTCTGCCACAAAGTTAAAAGGATCAAGACTTCACTTTTTCCCCTTTATTGCTACAAAAATCGTACTTTAATCACCGAGTTCTCTTGTTAAACGAACTTACTGCTGGATTCCGTGGCACCAGATTTGCGCACAACCAGTAAAAGTGAAACTATCACCTTTGGTTTGTCTTTAACTTCCCACTCCTGAGCTTTCAGGGGATAAACCAGAACCACGGTGTTCTGTTAGGTGCTGCTGCTGCTGCTGTCTAACCAAGTCTGAGAAAGATCAAGACTGCGTCCCGTTCACTGAAAGAATAAAAAAAAAGAGGGGGGAGAAATGACGTTATTTGACCATGTGCCCAAAATCCTTAATGAATAACTTAGAACTAGGAGGAGGCAAACGCTGCCCCAGCTGTTTCCTGTTGAAAATGTCTGTGTAATGTAGATAAATGTGAGGGATTTTCTCTCTAAATCCGTCTCCTGTTCGCTAAATCTCACTTCTCCAAAACGAGCCTGCGCAATGGAACAAAGTGGGAATATTGAGATGTGACATTGCCCCGCATCTCGTCCTCTTTCTTTGCCCCGATTTCTTTTTTTTAATGACTTCAAACAAGTTGCTCATTTTCGCCGGGCTTCTTTGTCTTTTTGCGGAGATCCGCGGTGATGTCTAGCGCTGCTTCCTCTCAGTGGCATTTATGTGATGTCCTCAAGGTAACTCGGCTGATTTTACATTGTCACCTTGCTCACTGCTTGCGCTCAGCATCCTTCTGACTTTTAAACCGAACCAGGAGCTTTTTCTAACGTGGCTTTTTTTGCACTTTTAATTCAGTTTGCATGCAATTCTCATGTGTGTTTCTTGCAGATTAACATCACCCAAAAAATTCGCACCTTTTTTTTTTTTGTGGAGGGGGGGAGTTAATTCATTATTTTTGAAAGCGTTGCCTGGGTTTGCACGGATCTTCTGCGCCTCCATGCGTAATGTCTTATTTTGCACCAGAAAGCTTTAAAACTTTCACCTTAATTGCTGCTGAGTGTGCGTTATTAAAGCTTAAATATTTCACCGGAAAACGGAGGGAAAGCTTAATCTGAGGCGCTCCAGGGCGTTTAGGGCTGTGCGGTTCTGATGTGGACGAATTTATTCGTTTTTATTATGCACATTTTGGCCCGGTCCGCTCTCTCCGCTGGCTTTGGCGGGATAACTCTTTTCCATCAAACATTTTGGACAGGAAAGATCCCCTGGCGGCTCTTTTCTGCATCCTTTATTTCTGAATTTCGAAGCACTTTTCGTGCGTAATAACGCGCTGACAGCTTTGGCAAAGGGAGACGGTGGCCTGCTTGCTAATGATATATATGATGAATGAATGTTCCTGATTAATGTGGATTGTTGCTAACTCCTTGCTATATGCTGGCTGCAGTGTAGGGTGATAACGGGGAACGTGTGTTTTTAATTTGGATACACGCAGCCCTCCCGCAGCATTAGGGCTTACTGCCAGTGGTGCTCCTAAGAGGGGGCCGTGGGGAGCCAGTGCCCATCCTCACAAACATGCAAGACACCAAATTGTTGATTTATTTTCTTATTTGTGCAAACAAATTAACATATCATTGAAAAGTTAATTTATTTCAATAGTTAAAATTGAAAATGTGACATTTTCTGAGAAGTTAAGACTTATAGTGATTGATTTTTAATATGGAAAAGAAGATAGGTATTCTAAGATGTAAATGGAATGTTTTGTGGAAGGAAAAACCATGGCAGAAAAAATTATAGAAACAAAAGTGAAAGCAGCTTTCACTTTTAGAGGGTTTTTCTTTCTCTAATTCATTATTGAATTAGAGAACATGTTAAGTGCTTATATTTTAACATGTTGCACCTTTAACTTGTAAAAGGTTTTAAAATGAAATGCTAACACTACTACTATTGGCTCTTGAATCACTGATTGCAGATGTGAATTTGCACCAAAGTCTTGAAGTGGTTTTCCATTTCTCTAATGCATCTTTTTCTGTCACAGTTTTTCCTTCCACTTCACTTTCCATTGATGTGCTTGGATGCAGCACAGTCATCATCGTGTTGCTGGACATCTGTCATCTCTGAAATTCAGAAATTAATGTAACGTTTCTGTGTTAACCTGTTCAATCCCAGATTTTATTCTGCAGAATAAGTGCCTGGATTTCATAATATTCATAAATTATTACATTTAATGTTAGTGAAAATGGAGGGTATTTTGCTCAGTTGTTGAGAAATTCTGCTTTTGGCTTTGAAAACTTTCGAGACTCACTTCCGACTGGATTTTTTTAAATTTTATTGTAGAGTTTGCAGCCGGGTTGTTTGTGAAGCCGAACCGTTTCCCCTCACGTCCGGCTTTGTTACTTCAGCTGGCGACCGACTGTAACTCACACACTCAGGCTTTCCCTGTCTGGCTGTTCGCAGGGTGCGATGTGCTGTATCTCCTGTAGCCACACCCTCTCACTACTGCTGTGCATCCTCACCCTGACTCCGACGGCAACAGGGGCGGGTCCGGAGACCCTGTGCGGGGCGGAGCTGGTCGACACGCTGCAGTTTGTCTGTGGAGAGAGGGGCTTTTATTTCAGTAAGTGCACCTTTTTATTTATTCATAAAGGCTGGCTGTGTGGGTCTCAGAGCTCTCCACCTCCAGGAGGCTCATAAATAAAACAGCAGCCAGTTTGGCATCTCGTCTTGACTTTCCCTGCATTAATGTTTCGTCTGTAGTTCACTCCTTTTTTCCAGTCTTATCTCTGGCTTCAAGTGTTTTACTTTTAATCCAAGCAGAAATAAAATACGACTGAATGTTTGGTGATTATTGTCAGGAAAAAAAAAGGGGCGACTGGATGTTGCTGTAAAGTTTTTCCCTTTTTTTTTTCAACAGAGCACCATATGTGGGATTAAAGTAGCTTTTAAAAGTATTTGTGCCCCTAAAACATCCGTATTTTCTATCAATCAATCAATCAAGTTTATTTGTGTAGCACATTTCAGCAGCTAGGCTTCATGAAAAAAAAAAACCCTCAAATTTGTCGTTGAAAAGTTTTGCAAAACTGCAACGGAAACGCTTTTTTCAAATCACACTTTATGTTGCTACTGGTGAAAAAGACAAAGAAGACGACAGGAAGTGGTTGAACGATGATGTTTTTAATGACAAACTTATTTATGTGTGATTTTAATTGCATTTCTTATTTAATAAAAACGCCCCAATTTGAAAATGGTGGTTTTTTTTGTTAACGCTGACAAAGTTTTGCAAATATTTGTAACAGAAATGCAGCTCCTGCTGTGAAACAGTCAAAGACTATTACGTGCTTTTGCATTATTTTCAGAATGACTGCAATGTTTTCCACCAATGCGACTCTCAGAACAAGTTTATTTGTTTGACGTTAGCAGTTTTCTACAGAACTGGAGTTTATTCACATCGTTCACGTTTCATTGGCAGTCATCCAGCAATTAGACTGAATTGTATTTAATGTCCTGAGCAAGAATCATATCTCCAACAAAACCCTGTTCTGTTCAGGAACTGATTGTCCCTATGACTCATGTGTAGTTTTGACCTAACAATCCATTATAAATGGTTTGGTTCTGTCCCAAACTTATGAAAGATTTTCCACATGCGGTAGACTTTGTCAGCTGCCAGTTTCAAGCAGAAAGGGAGAAGAAGATATTGCATTTCTCAGGGAGATCAGCATCTATAGCACGTTTTCAGTTCTTCTCTTTTCCAGTTATTGATTGCTTTCACCTTAGACCGAACCAGGAATGGTTTGAAAATACATGAGAACCTGTTGACTGATGGAAAACCGGGGGGCCAGAAGGGGCTCCAGGTTTTGAGTCGCAGCCGACAGCCAAGCAGAGGTAATACAGTAGTGGTAGCTACTGTATGCTGAAGGGAAGGGAGAGCTCCTCAAAACCCAAAATGAAACCATTTTATTCCCATTGCAGTTTAGAAAGTGCTTCTGCAGAAGCTTCACATTGTCCTGATTTTAACAAAGTCTTGACATTCATTCTGTCATTCTGGATAGAATAAAACTCCAGTTATGAACTCCAGCTAGCATCTAAACAAGATCTGTGTTGTCACTATATTGTTTTCATCACATCTACGACGATGGTTAAATTTTGTGCAAATTATCCTGCAAAAATAGTTTCATCATTGCAAACACAGCAACCAGACAACATTTTTAAATTCCTCTAACATTTACCTATGCTAACCATTTATGAAGACAGGATGAGTGAAGGACATTCAGTTTCTGCTGTGTATTTTTTATTTTCTGCTCTCCTCTTTAACACTGCCAGACCTTACTACATTTATTGCTGCTTCTCTGACGATTGTTAGCACATTGTGGCCTGTATTTAAAATGCTCCTTTAATCACTGCTTTGGATTGCGTACTTAACACAATCTTTAAACTATCAAACCCAGTTCTCTACAATAATTTGTTTCCAACAATAATAAACAGATTTTAAACAACCCTGCCACTTCTAAGTTTTAGCTTCTTTTCTAACTTGCTCTTGTTCTGTGTATAAAAAAACAGCAACGAGTGGGGTTTTGATTCCTATCCTGATCTTTTTTTAGTAGTTCTTCAAGTTTACAGATGGCTACATAGCTCTGCTAACTCTAGCTAGCATATAAGGCGGAATTGTATTGAAACTTTACATGCTAGATAGCTAAGTCCGTTTTACCTTCTTTTTAAAACTTGTTCTTGTTGTGAGCTGTGTATGAAAAATAGCAACAAGTGGGGATTTGATTCCTACTCTGATTTTTTTTAGTAGTTTCTCAAGTTTACAGCTAGTTGCTGTGCTAGCGCTAGCTAGCATATAAAGTGGAGCTGTATTGAAACTTGACATGCTAGCTAGTTACCTAGCTAGCTAGTCCGTTTATGCCGTGTTCGTGTTTATAGTTTATACCCTCTTTGGGAGCATTATTAGGCAATATAACCACTAGAGGGCAATTCTGAGTTAGTTTTTGGACTCAGAGGATATTTTTAAAGAACAAGCATAGCAACGGTGGGGGAAAACCTGATTTCTCACATAGCAGCATGTGACTAGAAAATTCCCTCATTTATGTCACTGCTTCTTCTTATTCTTTACTGATTTGACATGCATCATAAGAAAATGGGTTTTTGACCAAGTGTTGCTTCGTTGTCAGGTTTTCTTTTCCTCTTATGAACTTTTATAGCAGGTGAAATTGTGTCAGAAACTCTTAGACTTAAGATCTCATTTACAGGTTATGGAAGTCAAACTCTTAACGGTTGATTATCCTCTGACTGAATTAGCATATCAGGTCTGTTATTACCAATGCTAACACATTGCACAATGCAACTTGTGCAGATTGATCCAACATCAGCTGTCCAGTTGTAAGGTCACCCTGCACCTTGATGATGCTCATTGTTTACCCTACTATGAAGTTATCATCTCTTTGCCCAAACACACAATTTTTGGAGACTCACCAAGTAACTGCAAAGTTTAAATATTGTCTGAAAAATCACCAGATTTCTATTAATTTTTCCTTTTGTTTCTTGAGTTTTTCTCAAGATGTTTCTGCTTTCTTTCTCATCTTCAGTCCAGTTTTTGTGACACTATTAATGTGATTGCTTAAACATTTGGAACATAGAAAAGTCTTAAAAGTGTGATTGTAAAGGGGGAAACATTACAAAAACTACTTAAGAGATTATTTATCTTTCAGGCAGTCTTTCTACTGCTAGCAAACATCCAATTTCCTGCCAAACTGTATGACATATAGATCAAGTAACAATAGACCAAGTGGTTCTTTTATCTGTTGTTACTTGGCTATAATCTTGAACCAATATTTTCTCTTTTTGGCCGTTCTCTGCAAGCCCAAGAGACAGTGGTGGCTAGAAAAAACTCCCAGTAGATGAGCATTTTCTGGTTTCTGGTTTGAACTTCTGTAAATCATTTTTATCATCTCTAGACGCCTGAATGGTCTGAGTTGCTGCCATGTGATTGGCTGATTTATTATTTGTGCTAACAGGGACTCAAACAGGTGCACCCCAAAAAGTGTTTGGTGAGTATATTGAACTTTATAACCTACATGAGTCTAAAGGAGAGGAGGTGTTTCATGCACTCTCACTTTTTTCTTTCAATGAAAAAGATGAGGTTTGAGCAGCAGAGTGCTGTTCCTCAGAAAATATGCCGCTTGCTGTCTTCTTGGGTTTCGCTCTCTTTTATTTTTTCCTCTTCGTTCGACTGTGTGAAGCATCCGTCTGGATCCCGTCTGCTTTGCGTGGCTCCTTTCCCTGAACTCTTCTGCCGGACGTGTTGAACTTGGCAGCCCTCTGATTGATAACGGGTACAAGAACCAAACCCAACCTTATCCACCTTTAGCAAGCAGCCAGCAGCACTCTTTCATCTCAAGATGCTAGGCATTTTCTCCAAATATTAGCCTGACCTAGAAATCCCGACTTGTCTTCTCAATGCTTTACCAGATGGGCTGCGCTGTGATTTCACTGGGATGTTTGTTTTCTCAATCAAATATTTTATAAGGCTTTTTTGGCTTAAGTGTAAGCTCCAAGTAGCTCTGTGGCCTCAGTCACTTTCAGGTCATGCTAAAATATTTAACCGTCCTAAATTTAGAACAGGACATCTTCAGAATGAATAATGCATAGCCCATTATGAGTCACAGGATGAGATAACCGAACATTTTGGGCTTGAAGCGTATTGTTTTCCGAGTTATTTTGGGCTGCAGCCGTTAACGAGCGTTCCTGGTCAGTGTTCAACTCCGTAAATTTCTCCTGAGCTCCAGAGGATGAGTAAACAGCACGTCACAGTCACGCACGCGCCCACGCTTAAACGCGCACAGTGAGGCCTCGTCCCTCGGCAGCAGGGGATTATGGAGATTACAGGATGATCAGGACTCCCCCCTGCTCTCCCCTCCATCGCTATACGCCGAGCTCAAACACGATGATGAGAAAGCGTCTGAAGAAAGGCCTCCTGTGTCCTCTTCAGTGCCGAGAAAAAAAAGTTGTAGTTTCCCCCGGAAAAAAAAAAGACACCTGAACCAAAAAGTCTCCAAATCCTGCCGGGAATTAGGGCTCAGCAGAACAAAGAGGCGCCTCATGTAAAGGACAGTCAGTTCTCCGGATTTAGACCTGTAAGTCAGGTGGAGCGGATATTCAGGGAGTTTTACCCTCTGCTTTTGTTGGCATGTGGTGAAAATGGGTTAAACACCTTAAAGGGGCAGTGCTATCTAAAATCTACTTTCTTCCAGCTTTACATCATGTTGTAATCTTATACCTTCATCAAAAACATACCTGGAGCGTCGCTTTGATCTTTCAATCATGTTTGAGAAATCCTTTCATCACCTTGGCAACCACTCCAAAACGCCTGGGTGGACCTAGCCCCGCCTTCGAGGCGGAGCTCCTCCTCAGACCTCAGCTCCCCTAACGCACACTCCTTCCACTCAGCTCCTTCAGACTAGCCAGCAGCAATTAGCAAACACCTGGTCAAGCTGCCCATCTGCTGGGCTCGTTAGAGGAGCTGCTCGTCAGGTAAAAACATTGTTAACAGAGGAACCATGTTGTGATGACTTCCTGAAGGCGGAGTTTCACAAAGAGCAGGAGTTTTTAAAGACACAG